TTTTTAAGTTTTTGCATCAGCTCCTCTAGACTGTCCTCCCTGGGGGGGGTCCTGGCTGACAGGTGCTGTCGCCGGGACAAGCTATGCCGTACAGTCGCCCGCGTCCCCCCAGGCCCAGCCCCTCGAAAGCCCAGGCACTGTGAAATGTCTGCTGGGTTGAACTCCAGATAAAACCTGTTGAAATTGCTTCTCTAAAGAGGATTAAATAGGCAATGAATACAGATCAAACAGCTCCCCTTTAAAATTCATGGGCTTGAGTCTATGGCTATCCACCTGGCCTGTATAGGGATCTTTATAGCTCACTTCCTGGTTCTTGGCTGTGTTTAGAACAGCTGAAGCGGGTCGTTACGGGAACCACCGATAGTCAAGGGTGCCTGTGTCATGGCTCAGGAAGGAGGACGCCTCAGAGGCAGCTGGTGGGATAGTGACAAGTTATCCTATACTCCTAGTCCTCAAATTTCCCCAGCAGGAAAAGGGAGGCCTTGCTTACAAGCAAGAGGGCAGAGCTGGGGGTCCCTCAGTTCTTCCTACAACGACAGAGATAGACAGGCTAAGAAAATACCGAAACACAAGAATACAAAGTTTCGGGGCACTTGGGTGGCTCAGTCGTTAAGCGTCTGCCTTCGGCTCAGGTCATGATCCCAGAGTCCTGGGATCGAGCCTCGCATCCGGCTCCCTGCCCAGCAGGAAGCCGGCTTCTCCCTCTCCCACTCCCCCTGCTTGTGTTCCCCTCTCTTGCTGTCAAATAAATAAATGAAATCTTAAAAAAAAAAAAAAATGCAAAGTTTCATCCATTGGCCTTGAGAGGAGTTATGACTTAAAACTTCTAATATCCATATCCTGAGGCCGTCCTGAAGGAAGCTTACTGGGATTGGGTGGTCACAAGGCACCATGCCCATGAGCAGACTGAGGGCTGACGTACCTGGATGGTGTCTAAGGCCAGGTCGGACCAGTATAAGCAGTTGCGCTCGTAGTCGAAGTCCAGGGCCACTGCGGCCCGCAGCCCGGTGAGAGGCAACTGCTCTGTGGCTCCCGAGGCCAGGTCATAGCGGTGGATGGACTTCCGCATGGCGTACAGGATAAACTCGTTCTCCTCTGCACAGACGCAGACAAACATGAGAGAGGGTGGGCAGAGCGGGTGCTGAGGAGGTCCTAGCACGTCTGACCTCTTTTCTGCTCACCCACACACCTCGGAGCCAAGGACACATGGCGCAGATCCAGCGGGAGAACACAGGACTCGAGATTAGAAGGTGTGAAAAATGGAATCCCATGTCCACCTAGAGGGGCAAGTTACTTCGACTCCTGTAAATCTGTTTTCTCCTCTGCAAACTGTCTTGTTACATATATATATATATGTGTGTGTGTATATATATATATATATATATATATATTTTTTTTTTTTTTTTTTTTCTTTTTTTAATTGAGAGGCCCCAGTCATGCTCCAACATCCACACTTCTGAGCTTGGCCCGGAGGTCTTTAGAGTTGCACATGACAAAATAATTACCCCACTCAGCATGTTCTCCCTCGTCACATGACGGTGTCACATGGCACCATAATCATGTTGAGGAGAGACCCTTCATCACAGAAGACTTGTAGCTAATCTGCTGGCTCACCCATCCAACATTATTCACAATGACACAGAGCAGTTACATTAACCTATTAGAGTTTCGACACAGTAATAATACATTCATTCCTGAATACTTAACAAAATGCTTCCAATGTAATCATCTCAAAGGTTCTGTTTCTTCCTAACAAACACTACACAATGTCCGTACTACGCACCGGGCATCGTTTCACTGGTGTAATGACTGCGTCGTGGAAGGACCACAATGAACTCCATTTTACAAATGAGAAAACAGAGAGGTGGCCGTACCCGAGGTCACACAACTGGTAAGTGGCAGGACCAAGGCTTGAACCCAGGCAGTCTGGATCCAGAATCTGTGTTTCACCCCCTACACAAGGCTGCCTCTTGCAATGTAGAGGCTAATGCTGACGCAGAAATATTGGCTCTGAGTGCTTAAGAAGGCTTACTTTTTTTTTTTTTTTTTTTTTTTTAAGATTTTAGTTATTTCACAGTCGGAGACAGCCAGAGAGCGAGCACAAGCAGGGAGAGAGGGTGAGGGAAGAAGGGGAAGCATGCTTCCTGCTGAGCAAGGAGCCCAATGCGGGGCTCGATCCCAGGACCCCAGGATCATGACCTGAGCTGAAGGCAGACACTCAACAACTGAGCCACTCAGGCGCCCCAGAAGAGTTACTTATATCAGACAAGTAACAGAAAGACATGTTGCTCCCTCTCTTCCACTTTAGGGAATAGCATGGAAAACATTCTGAGTCCTTACTCTGTCTCCACAGGAACAGAGAGGCGCAACACACCCGCATCCATGTCTGTGTTAACCATGTTCACAGAGGGCTGCTTATGGGACCCGAAGCCCCCCGCTGCACGCCTGCCCCGTGGCCGTTTCTCTCTCGCTCCTTCATTCCCTTCATTCAGGGGGTACGCGCATGCTAGCTACCCACTTTACAAGGGCTCCCACACAGATAATGCACCGCAATGATAAATGGACCTACAATTTTTAGTAAAGGTACGTTTGCCTTCTTTCCCTTTGGTCTCACTGCACTTCGAAAGTGTCTAAGCCTCCACCACGTGGTAACCGCTCTCTTCTTCTGGTTTTTAAGAAGAGCTTCCCACCGTACTTCCCAGGGAAGGGGATCGTTAAGATGAAACCTAACAGAAACCAAGGACTCTCGTCAAAGCTGCCACGGAGGGCCACAGAGGTTATCCTCACAGCTGCCAGCCTCCCATGTCTCTAACGTCCACAAACCCCATTCTGTAGCTTCCGTTCTTCTCCCAACCAACTGATGCCTTTACAGCAGAGCCTGGATCCAGAAAGACCTGCCTTAGGATTAGATACAGAGGAACATTCTGCTTGTCCATGTCCAAGACTCAAGTTAGGAGAAGAACAGAATTCTTGGCCAATCCCAGCCCTCCCTGAGAACCGCCTGGACATCTGTGTTATTACAGACATCAAAAAGGAAGGATGACTTCATTTTTAAAAATCCTTCCAGATGCCCTGACAACCTCCTCTTGGCAAAGAGGCTTTGGCTCCCATCAGCTCTAGGAAATCTTTTCCTTTTGCAGGATACCCTTGCTCTTTTTTTTTTTTTTTTAAACATTTAGGAGGTAGCCTTACACGGCAAATGTGATTCTTCTACTTTGTTTCCTGCTCTATTTTTCTCCTCTCAGAAAAGAAAATAGCTCTCCTACCAGTTGAGACGGCTTTAAACAAACTGTTTTGCCCCTCACTGAATTATCTCCAGAAATGTTTATTACAAAAGCCTGTACTCCAGCCCTTACAAGCAATCACTCAGACCCTGCTCACCCAAGCCCTCATCAGTAACAGCCCTCGTGAGGAGTGTATTCGAGTATTATCCGCTCATCTGCGGGAATCTGCTGAAACCGTGTTTTTTTTTTGAAGTCTCCACAGTGAGGGATGTTAATTACTCTGTTAATGATGGAAGATTAAATTAAAGGGCTAATGAGCTTAGCATGAAAAACACCGGGGCACGCTGGCAAGCGAACGAGGGGGGCGTGCTGCCCCGCCGGCGGAGGACCACGTGCTTCTCGCCACCCAGCGGGCGCCGACGGCTGTTCCATCAGACACCACGGCCACGGCTGCAAGCGTGCGCCAACCATCCACCTTCACTGAGAGGTCAGAGCAGGAGGAAGGGTTCCCAGGGAATAACAAGGTTCTGCACGAGTAAATACTCGAAACAGAGCCGGAAAGGAAAGGTGCTAAGAGATGAACTATTTGCGAGGGTATCATCGTTTCGAGACTAGACTGCAGATCCTCTCCACACACCACCTGTGCCACCACCGCTCGCTCAACTCAAGAGCGTGTCTGAACCACACTCTCCCTTTACAGCAGGTGCACTCACTCCAAAGAAGTGTTTCCTAATGATTTGCATAATGATTCCCTGACATGATGGGAATGACACTCATTGGCGACTCGGGCGCCCTCTAGGAAGAGCACGAGGCTGGAGAGTCTGAATCTGAGCTCTGCCACTTACCAGGTGCGTGACCTTCGACAGGAGCATTGACCCTCTCCTCTGAACATGCTTCTTTATTTTTTTATTTTTTTAATGGAGCTTAGGACAGGATCTGCTCCACGAGGTAGTGAGAAGGATTAAAATGACAACACATGGAAAGAGCACATTAAGACGTGTGAAATTCCGCTAAAGTATTCATGGCACTTATTACTATAAAAATTAAGACACGCCACTTAGCTATGTCCCCAGAAGCCACAAGGCTCTTTATGTTCAGCTCTGACACACAGATCGAGGTAAATCACCAAAGCCCCTCCCTCCTGCCCATGCCTAGAATACGAGAGACGAAGAATAAACACTTTTCAAGGAACAAAAGGGGTTTCCCTCAGAAAATACTTTCCATTCCTACAAAAGCATAAGGCTCTAAATAAATTTGGTTTGGCTACCAAGCTTAGGGGGAAAGGGGGGCTCTGTGATGCTTGTAATTTCCATGTCTTTCCTCCACTAAGAAGAGTCACGAGACTAGACCTGGGTCGGACTGTGACGACGCTATAGTGAGAATCTCAAGAACTCAAAGGCAAGAAGCCACCTCTTACCTGCCAAGGGACACGGGACCAGTTCTCCTTCCAGTCGTGTTTCAACATCTCCTCCACTACAAGTGTCCCCAGAAATCTTCCGATAGCTGTCACCCCCCCACCCCAAGAGCAAAAGGTCAGAGACAACCAGGAATAGTCATTGAGTCGCCATAATTGGAAATCTATTTCCCATCCATGGACAATATTCATTTCCCCATAGGACAAGACGACGTGTAATCATTCTGAACTGGTCCTGCTTCGAGTTATACTGGGCAGCCCACACAGTTGGGAAGCTGTCCTGGGCATGAGTGTACATCTCTCTCTCCAACGAACTCCCATGAAAACACATCCTTGCTGAAGTTCGTAACTTAACACACAGCCAGAGTTGCAGAGAAGTCCACAGATTTGCATTTGCTCGCTGAGGGTACAAGAGTTTGTAAACATCTTAATTCCAAATATTGCCCAAGCACCCTGAGACCTGCAAGCTTGGAACCCAAGCACTTGGGAGTAGGAAAGGAACCCAGTGGCCCTCTCTACTCTCAAACCCAGTGCAGACCCCTCGTGTCCCTGGCCATAGCGACTGTTGTGAGACATACCCTCTTGTTCTCCTGTAAGTAGAGCCCACAGGACAAGGCACAGGAGGAGAGTAGGACTTCCCAGAAAACTCCGGATCTGGAACACACACCTCTAAGGACAAATCTTCACTCATCTTGAAGCCAAAGTCGCTAAAAAAGCAATTGGGGCTCGTTAGGGCCATTGGTTTACATACTTGGGGTATGTCAGTACCAACCCTTATGACTTCTCCCATAGCGCCCCCTGCTTTAATGTTAGTTACTTAATATGTCCCTTTAAAGAACACTCACCTTTTTATGTTAACACATTTTCAAAAGAAACTTTACATCTGAACCATGATTGGAAAACCACAATCATACGCCAAAAATAAGACAAAAACAATAAAAATCATTATTGCCAAAAACCAAAATAATATTAAATTTTTTAGCTGGATCCAATTCCCTACCCAAAGACTCTAGGTCTGCCTGGTCCTTCTTAAGAGAAATTAGGAAACGGGGGCACCTGGGTGGCTCGGTGGGTTAAGCCTCTGCCTTCGGCTCAGGTCATGATCCCAGGGTCCTGGGATCGAGCCCCGCATCAGGCTCCCTGCTCAGGAGGAGCCTGCTTCTCCCTCTCTCTCTGCCTCTGCCTGCTGCTTCCCCTGCTTGTGCTCTCTCACTCTGTCAAATAAATTAATATTTTTTTAAATTAAAAAGAAATGTAGGGATTAGGAAATGGGGGCCCCTGGGTTGTGTAGTCAGTTAGGCATCTGACTTTTGGTTTTGGTTCAGGTCATGATCTCAGAGTCCTGGGATGGAGCCCCGTATCAGGCTCCCTGCTCAGCACAGAGTCTGCTTGAGATTCTCTCCCTCTCCCTCTCTTTCTTTCTGCCCCTCCTACTCATGCTCACTATCCCTAAAATAAATAAAATCTTTAAAAAGAGGGATTAGAAAATATTAAAAAGTTACTAGCACCCATGATCCTTTCTCCTTGATGTGAGTCGGAGAATTAAAAAGGAAATTTAAAAGAATAATCCTTTTTTAAATTAAAAGATTCAATGTTATTTAAGACCAGGCCCATGTACTACCTAAAATCACTCTGTGTCCCTGCACTTCGGGACACAGTGCTTTGGTCCACGAGAACATTCACAATTTGGGGGTCACATATCTCTGCCAAAACACCCATCAGGCAGAAGAGGTGTAGTCCCAGCTCTGCCCTTCACTGCACGACTTGTCTGGGCTGCATCCAACAATCCCAAGATCAGGCAACCGCCCTAGCTAATTCCGGAAACCCTGCCCAAAACTTGGATTCTAATTCAGATGGATTTTCCATATTGATGTGCTCTATTCAAAAGGCTTCATTTACTCTGTTCAGTCACGAATACTTTTTTAACACCTTCTCCATGAATGATCAACAGGTACAAGGCTAAATGTTGTTTATTGTGTCATAATCCACATTTAGCAATTTGTAGGAATTTTTCAGAAGGGAGAGTTTTATTGCTATAGGCAATAATTAGGTAATTTTTACCGAATGGCTGCTTAAAATCTTTTTGGGGGCCAGCTGGAGCTTTAGCTAATTACTTATTTGCCTCCAACGCCAAAGCACTTGTTCTTAGGAAGGTTTCCTCAATCTGTAGGTCATGACCTAACAGGCCGTGAACAGACACTCACTAGAGGGTGAGAAGGCGGCTTCTCACCCAGGTGCTGGGCTTCCCAGAGAGGCCAGAAAGGACCATCAGTAGCAACCAGACTTTCCAATGCAGCTGTCCCTCAGGAGCTGAACTAACGCACAGACTAGAAGCTCCCTCATTCTCACCCCCCCCACCCCCGCTGTTGACTTTCAGACCATCTCCTTCCTCACTGCCACAGTCCAAGGTCACCAAACATTTCTAAGAGCCACACCGTCCAGCCAGCTCCTTTCTAGCAACTGCACACACACAGGCCTTGGCTCATCATCCTCACGATCTCATTTGGCCAAAAGCCCAAGTCCGTGAGGGACAAGGGCAGCTGGTTTTCCTGGTCTGTAAGAAAGACTCGGCACCTAGTGGGTTTCCGTGAGGTTGCTGGGGAGAGCCTGCAGGCCAGTGGGAGCCAGGCCAGTTTACCAGGAAGGCACACCAGCCTCTGGTTTTGGTTTGTTGATGTTTTGGTAGAAGAGGGGCCAATTTCAGAGAAAAACCACAATAGTGGTCATTAAGAAAAAAACCCAAAGAGTTGTTAGATTTTCTCGCATGTTTTTTTACTTCATTTTGTTTTGAAGTAGTTAGTTAATGGGGATACGAGAGGGAAGGAAGAGAGCACTGTGACTTCTTCCATCAAGGGCCTCTGCAGTCAGGGGGACATCGGGCCAGCAAAAGCGCTATGATTAGAATTACAATTTGGAAGTATCAAAGGGAGAGCGGAAGGCAGCACAGGGCAAGAAGAGCACTCGACTGACACCTCTGGGGACATTAAACAGCTCCGTGGTTTTACAATGGAAGGGTCTGTGCTATAATCTTGGAACCACAGAGCTTCCAAAGGCAATGCACATCTTGTAGCATCTAAAACCCCGCTGTTCGAAGGATGGGTTTATAGACAAGCAGCACCAGGATCAGCCAGAGCCTGGCAGAGCTACAGACCCCCAGAACGAGAGACTCAGAGCTGGCATTTTCACAAGATCCCAGGTGTGGCACATGCGCACTCGGGTTTCAGAGGCACTGGTCTAGGGCAGGAGCTGGCAAACCCGGCTGGCTGTTCTCGCAAAGAAAACTTTATGGGGCCATAGCCATGGCCCCAGTCACCACCTGTGGCTGGTTCCATGCTACCACGAGCAATCGCGGAGCTGCTCACAGCGACCATAGGGCCTCCAAAGCCAAGGCCCTGGTCCAAGCTCTGGACCAGAACATACTCAGAGGCTTCTGGCTTTCGTCAAGGTAAGGGTGGCTTTCCCAAAGCAAACTTCAGTTTTCTTGTGCCTTGGCAACTACTGAGAAATGAGTTCCGTGCTTAGGTTGATACCCAGGCTCTACCGAGGGCCCTGCCTTGCCTGGGGTGATCGCATGCGGATTAGAGACTCAAAGTCCTGCCTCGGGGCTCCGAGACCCTACGTGCTTTCGGGCTAGAATTTCCTTGTCAAGCTAAGCTCTGTTCTGATCACCGACTCTCCTCAAAAGCCTTCAAAGACCCCCACCTGCTTACAGAATAAGGCTCCCGGATCAGCCTCAGCTCCACTCCCTGACCTAACTTTGTACCTCCAAGGCATCCGAGCCAAACTGCCGATGACTTCCCTACCTCTGTCCCTCCCCATGGCTGCCGCGTCTCAGACTGCCCCTGTCCACAGATCCAGGTGCTTCCTTAAGGCCCACCTCAAACAGTGAAGCCCCCCCAAACCTCCTAATTTGCCTGCAACACATCAGTCTCCTCCTTCCTGCCGATGACCACAATAAAAACACCCATTCCTCCTCCAAGGCGCCGGTGGCTTTCGCCCTCTGGCCATGTTATTTGTGCACCTGTGGCTTCTTCTGCTTTCTCCTTTCTCAGCCGTGCTTGGGTACCCTGCTCCAGGACGGAGGGATATACAAATACGTATGTACTAACATCCCCTCGCTTCTGCAGAATAGGGCCCCTAAGGAAAAGGAGTGATCTACAGTGGAATTTTGAAGCTGCCCTCATAGGAATACATCCCAGGGTGATCTCTTCCTAAATCAGCTACCACAGCTTCCCCAGGGGTGACACCTCTCCCTCATTTCATAGCTGTAAGAACGAAATAGAATAAACTAGGTAGAAAGTGCCTAGCACATAAAAAAAAAAATGCTTCATAAATGCTGACTTCCTATGATCTGCCTTCTTTTGCTCAGGGGAAGGGACCACCTAGCCTGGTGGGCCACACTGCTGGCTGAGGAAGTCACAACCCAAGCCCGGGGCAGCAAAGAAGAACCAACCACTCATAGTCCTCTCTCGTGCAAGAGCAGTTGGACACGACCACAGGCCGGTCAAAGTCTTCTCCGTTAAAGCACGTGGCATGGGGAGTCCTCCGCTTGAAAACGGTCTTGTGTCCTAGCAAACACTCGTTGCCCCGCTCATCCGATGGTGACCAGAGCTTGTAGTCATTCTCTGTGCAGGGAACCCCTGGGAAAAGGAAACACAGCAGGAAGCCTTTGAGGGAGACCTACGCACTCGGGCTTTCCCGTTCTTCCCAGCCCTCTGGCCCCGAGACCCTGCGTCTGGCGCATCCCGCTGCTTGGCAGGCACACGGGCCTCTGGTGCTATCCCAGGCCTCGAATCTGCTTGCTCTGAGGCCGGGAGGCACCCACGCCAATGGACATGGTGCCTCCTGAAACACAGATGCTCTTCTGAGAAAGCTGGGAAGAAGCAAGCCCCAGTTTGGCACCATCTAAACTTCTGAAATATTTTAGCAGATTCTGCAGTTGCCTCCAGAAGTACGTATTGAGGGGCCTGTCCCCCAGGGAGTTAGGGTCAGGCTGGATCCTGGAGAGACAGATGGTGTCCTTCGGAAGTATGGTTCCCCGCCCGCCTCTGGAGGGATGGGGGGGCGGGGGGCAGGGTGGGCACGCCCGGAAGCAATGACCCGAGAGAGCAATAGACAATTTGCTGTCACTACTGGGAAGGTACAGAGTCTTCACGGAAGGAGGCTGAGAAATGGTGAAACAGCCTGGATGATCCCTCAGCCTACCCACGTTCACTTGGAATCTAGGTAGAGTGGTTCCCACAGGAATCCAAAGTATGCCTATGTCTACAGTGGTCCTCCCTGTCTTCTTTACAGGTGTGTCTTCCCACGGATGACAGGCTGCCTGGAACCGGTGCAAAGCTGTCAGCTCGTCACCATTCCCATCAGCGAGGACTTTCTAAACCCCCGCTGTAAGGCTCCCCAGCTGATCAGCGGGTGGAAAACACACGCGCGGGACAGGTTCCTATTTCCGAGGACCTTACATCTAGTTGATGGGGGAAGATGCAAACAGGGCGACACACACAAGTGCAGAATTCAGGGCATGAGGTGTAGGCTCATGCTCTGGACCCAGAGACGAGGGGAAAGGTCCCCTGGTGGGACTATTAGCAGCCAAGTGCACTGGATCCTGAAACAGGGGAAGGACTTCAACCAGCAGAAACTGAACAGGGAGCAAGGGGGACACTTCGGTGAGTTGGAAGGATGAGAGCCCAGGCAGGAGGAGGAGGAAAGAGCAGGGCTGCAGGGAGGACGGGGGAGGAAGGAAGATGCGGAGTCGCACCTCTCCTCCGTCCTCCCAAGAATGGCCCGAGTCGCTGTCTTCCCATGTCCCCATCACTCGGCGTACATGTGTGCTGCTGCCTGCGTGGCTACAAACTCCGCGCGGTACAGAGGGCCTACGCGGATGCTCGGATCAGCGAATGTTTCCACGGAAAGGCCAAGGAGGCAGCGGCTTACCCAAGGCATTCGTGGCGTTGACCTGGAGGATCAGCCAGCTGTGGGCGCTCTCCTTGTTGGAGCCGAAGATGGTGAAGACGGTGCTCTTCTCGCCGGGTTCCGTGAGGAGCCCGTACACGAACACCGGCCTCTCAGAGAAGATGAACGTTTTCCAGGTCTCCCCTTCATTGGTGCTGTATCTGTCCACAGACGAGGAAGAGGATCCCTGCAGTTAGTCTCTAGGGCAAAGGCTCGGTTCCCAGAGAAGATTCACTGGGGCGGGCGGGGTGGGGCGTTGGTGGGGCGTTGGTGGGGCGTCGGTGGGGCTCCCTGGAGAAACGGCTGAAGCAGGGAACGTTCAGGGTTGAAGCAGAAAGCAAGGAAGTGCTCAGGGACTAATGGGGTCGGTGCAAAACGACAGAGCAGCCAGCTCGATGGGCTCTCCGGCTGGTCAGTCTGGGACAATTTGAACATAGAAAGAAAAATGATGGGAACAGATTTTGCACTAAGTAAAAATAGGGTATGGGTCTCTGAATGATCCTAAAAGGGACAGAGAAGGGAAGGAGGGAAACGTTTTTCTTACATTACAATACATTACAATACCCGATCTAGGCTGGAAACAATGACAGCATGAGAAAAACGACCATCCCATCACCCACGCTCTAATAACCGAGCTGGGCCACATGACCACTGGACGTTAAGGCCACGGCGGGGAAAGAGTGCTGGGGACCGGGGTGCTCACATGGTCTAAAGCTACCGACCCCCAGAGGAATCACTCACTACCGATGGGGAAATGCAATTCCACAGAGGACCAGAGCCAGAGCCTTCACCAGACGCAGCACCACAGACAATGGGACAACCTGACTTTACAGGCCTCCTGGATAAAACACTGCGAATATCACATCCGCTACCTGCTAGCCTGAACCACCGGACAAGTCCAGCATGGGCAACATGCTACGTGGTGACTGGTCTGGATTCTTCCAAAGCCAAAGTGAGGCCATGAAAAAGTTAACAAACCAACAAAAGAAGGCAGGAGGCTTGTTACAGAGACTGAAGAGGTGTTAATGGCCACAGGCAGTGTGTCAACCTTGACTGAACCCTGGATTGGGTGCGGGGGGCGGGGGGCTGAGGTCAGTACATACACATAAATAGAGTGGATAACGGAGACTGAGCTCCCATTATTAGGTGTGATAACGGCATTCTGATTGCAGAGGAAAATGCCCTTATTTATTGGAGATACATGCTTTCAGTATTTAGCTGTGAAGGGGCGTGACAGCTCCAACTTGCTTTCCCGTGACTCAGTGAAGAAGGACAGGCAGATGGAAAGACAGGCAGACAGGACGAACACGTAACTGACTTAGAAGGAAAGCAGGCTGGCAGAATGTTAACCGTTGATTCTGAGCGAACGTATGCTGAGTTTTCTTTACACAATTCTTGCACCTTTCCCTGCGGCCTGACAAATTTTTAAGTTGGAGGAAAAAAATATGTGCAGAGAAAAGTCTCCAAGGAAGACTACCTCAGAACGAGAAAGCAAGCTCTTGAAAAAAACCGGCACTGAGAAAACTGTGCTGATTTTATATTATCTTTTGTATTGAAGGGGAGGAGGAAGAGGGGAAAATCTGCCTAACACTTGCTTCATCACCCAGAACCCTGGCGACTTGCTCAGCCTGAGAAAGCACTCAGGGAGAGCTTCCTTTAGGACCTAGAGCTCTAGCTCTAATGACACGCAAAACTTCTTTCTTTCACCTTTCCCATATATTTGAGATTTTAGGTTGACCCCTCATCCTTGACATAAATCTTTTCACAACATCATGTGATCCAAACACTTCCTCCCCAGTTGAGATTACTAAAATGGATACTTCGGCAAGAGGCTGCAGGTTCAAAGCGGAGAGGGGTGAGGCTACAAGGCCACATAAATCATGAATGTCAGGGAGGACTAAGGGACTCCTCTACAGATCCGTAAAGAGGACAAATTCTCCTCTGGTGGAAACACTTCTGGTTGAGGCTAATTTTGAAACCTATCCGGGGATAAGTGAGCTAGTTCACTTGCCTGGTACCAGTGTGACGAGCTAAGGGCGAAGTACCACTTTTAGAGCAAAACAAACCAGCAGCATCGGTCAGTCCGTTATCCAGACAGGATGGGAGCTGTCCATCTGCTCTGCGATAATGCCGGAATGCCATCTATTTGCACATTGCTTAGTTAATGCGATTTAAGAGCTCTTCAAACCCCAAATAACCACAGGAAGCCAAGCGTCCCGTTTCTTGAGAGGTTCCCAGAGGCCTCTGGGAGGACGCTTGAATGAGGCGAAGAAATAGGTGCATAGCCAAGCACAGCCCTCCTTCGAGAAGGAACTGTGCATTCAGAAAACGATGCTTGTTCAGAATTTCGGGAAGGGGCAGGTCACATTACCACTGCAACAGTTTGGGGGATCATCTACTCTGCACCAAGTTCTGACCCCTAGAGGAGGACTTGTTTTGATGACCTGAAAATGACAAAAACTTTAGAAGAAAACAAACCCACATCATGTCTGTGCTCCTATAATCATGAAAGACCATACAGAGCCCCAACTTTTAGGAATAGAGGATTCAAAACATTCAGATAAAAATGCAGTCATAAACGCCATGGTCAAAAACTCTCAAGAGGATGGGAAGGTCATTTAATAGAAAAATGTAAGATAACATAAACAGAACCCAACAGGCACTAAGCAAGGGTAGTGTTGCTAGGAACTCAGCTGAGGAGTATCTGTGTGGCTGGCTGTCCAGAAAGGTCCTTGATGAACTCAGTTTTTTGAACAGCATGTTCACGATGAGAAAAGAGTCTTATAAGCAAAGGCAAAAAGGTCAAAAGCAATAGTGATTTGCTAGTTAATTCCAGCTATGAAATTCTTACACCAAGTGATCTGTGGGAACAGTGGCCAAACAAATTCAAAGTGAGTCAAATTATAAAAATAAGTGGTAGATTAGTGGGTCAGCAGGATGATGGGTTGGTTGTCTGGTAAATTCTACAAAGAATTAGCAAAAAATTCTATAAAGGGGCGCCTGGGTGGCTCAGTGGGTTAAGCCGCTGCCTTCGGCTCAGGTCATGATCTCAGAGTCCTGGGATCGAGTCCCGCATCCGGCTCTCTGCTCAGCAGGGAGCCTGCTTCCTCCTGTCTCTCTGCCTGCCTCTCTGCCTGCTTATGATCTCTCTCTGTCAAATAAATAAATAAAATCTTTAAAAAAAAAAAAAATTCTATGAAGAACTAGAAAGAATCATCCTTCTGATGCTCAATGGTATAAATAGTAATAATAGGAAAAAAAAAGGCAGAACCACTCAATTTCTATTTTGGTTGTGTCTTTATCAAGAAGAATGATCTTCAAACTGGACAAGATAGAAAAAAAATTAAGAAAAAACTAGGGACATTAAAAGAAAATGAGCACAAAAGAGAGCACATTCTAGGGAATGGAAAGTCTTAAAAATATGACTGCGGAGTTCCTTCTAAGAATCTCTGACAGAATCATGGAGGACAGACAGAGATCTCTCAAAGCCCAGAGGAGGAAGAGTAGCTTTACTCCCATAAAGAAGAAAAAGTGGTTTCAGCTGGGGTGTCGGGATGGCTCAGTCATTAAGCATCTGCCTTCGAATCAGGTCATGATCCCAGGGTCCCGTGATCGAGCCCCACATCGGGCTCCCTGCTTGGCAGGAAGCCTGCTTCTCCATCTCCCACTCCCCCTGCTTGTGTTCTGCTCTTGATATCTCTCTGTCAAATAATAAATAAATAAATAAAATCTTAAAAAAAAAAAAAAAAAGGATGGCTGATCTGATGGGTCTTAGAACAGAAAGCAGTCCGTCAGGGTTGGGACTCCCAAAGTTTCACACAAGAGTCACAACAAACGAATCCCATTTTTCATTTTTCATGGTGATCCTCGATTGGAAGAAGAGGGCAATAATACAAAATATTCTTTTTTCATTAAGGATCTCTGTGGGCCACACAGCTAGATAAAATTCACTGCTGGTGAAACAAATCCCAAGCGTGCTGATTGTTGACATATGGTGTGACTTCAACCCAAAAGAAGACCTCCTTCCCACACAGCTTGACGCCTTAGTCAAAGATATGAATAACACCACGGTCAGTCAATCTATCAGATTCGCAAAGCAGACAAGGCTAATAGCACCAACGACGCAGTTCAGGCCCAAACAGGGTCCAAACTGCTTTCAGTACATCGAAAGGAGAAGGGAAAATGAGAATGAAGTTCCACATGTTGTTTCAAACACCGACCTGCTCAGATACAGGATGGAGAACATCTGGTCTTTAATAAAATTCATAAGGAAAAAGGGATCTCCATGTTTTGTAGTTAAACCAAACTTGAGCTACTGGTACAAGTCACAGCGGAGATAGAATCTCAAAAACACGCTGAGCAAAGGAAGCCAAATGCAAACACAGGAAATTCTGGAAAAGGCAGAACCAACGTACGCGGTAAAAATATAATCACACCATCAGTTGCCTCTAACTGGGGTGGGGCCGGGGCGGGGGTGTTGGCTGGGAAGGGGCACGCAGGTCTTCTCTGGGGTGACAGAAATTCTCTGCATCTTGACAAGTGCCCTCCAGAACGGATTAACGGGTGTCTTTACAATCCAAGCATCTCATGGTGTGTGAATGGAAACCTCAATTTTTTTAAAAAAGTAATTCAGTAGAAGCTAAAATGCTGGGGAGGCTGTCAGAAATATAATCAGTCTTGGGGGTTCACAGTCAGGAACTGAGCATTCTGAGCCCCGTCAATGTGAATCCTTGTACGCTGCTGGGGTCAGCTGCTGGGGTCAGATCCGGGCCCCACACGTGAAGGTGCCGACATGGGGAGGTGACCTAAAGGATACGCAGACGGTGGAAAGTCACGGCATCGGAGGAAAGGAAGCAGAGCCGTCTGCCACGGAATGGGAGACACGCGAGAGGGATGAGGAAGGATGAATCCCTTTTACTCATGAAGGACTAGATGGATAAACAAGTGACAGAATGAAGAAACAACCAACAAGCTGTCCCAAAGTGAAACGAAATCCCCTCTGGTCTGGCCACTCCCCACCACTGCAAGCGTCCAGGCAAAGACCGGCGGATCTTCCATCGCAGATGTCAAGGGAAGACGCACACAGGGCCTGGGAGGCCAGAGCGGATGACGGGGCGTGCGTGGATTCCCGCTGGACCTCTCCCCGTGCACAGCCCAGGGCGGTCCAGTCCGACCCGTCCAAATCCACATGCCTCCGCGGGCCCTTCAGGGCCTGCTGCTTTCCCCCGCTCCTCCAGGAGGGGTCTGCCCGGCTACAGCAGAGCTGTCCTGCAGACTCTGCCCCCAAAACGCTTAGTCCCCCACCCCCCAGCTTCCATTCTCACCTCCAGTCTTGCTTCTTTTAAATGTATCCGCCTCAGCTTGCCAGGGCCCACCTCTGTAACGCAGCTCTAGCTGCGTCATTCCCCTACTGAAAATCCTAGAGGGACACGATCACTTCAACAGCCAAGTCTGATCTCTCCAGTGCAGTACACACAGGCCTCGAGCTCCCGGCCCTTACCTACAGCTCCAGGCCTCTACCTACACCTCCCTCAATCCCCGCCTCTCACCGCCTCCTCCCTGCAATCTGCATTTCGTCTTACTAAAGCCTTACACCTTCCATGCTGATGCTTGCTGGGCCTTCTTTGCCCAAGGTCTTTCTAACTCTGAAATGGCACTCCAACCTTGCTCAAGCTCCCTCTTCCCCCTCCCTCCTCCTCCTGGCTGTGCTCGCACAGCCCCCTGTGCTCCCTATACCTTACATTCCACTCCGTTTTCATGGCCTGATTTTGCAAGCACATCCTCCTAGACTGTAATGGGACAACACACCCACTTACTAACTTTTCTGCCCCTGGCACCTGGCACCTTTCCTGGCACACAGAAGGGTAAGTGTTAATTAACATTTGCTAAAGGAGATGAAATGAACAGCACTGTATTTTTTTCAACCCCTTCACTGAGTCTCACTTTAAAAGGTGGTAACGCCTGCTCCACTGTAACCCAAAGGCCAGAGAAACCAAGTGAGGGTGGAAATGTCACAGGCGGGGATGGTTCGGCAAGTGTCCCCGAGTGTTACCAGCGGCATCAGGAGCGGCCACCCCACGTACAGGTGAACTGCCACCCTCCACATTCTGGAACCCGGAGGTTGCTTCCGCAACTCAGGTCCTGAAAAAACAGCTGCTGGGTGTAATCCTTGCACGACCTTTAAGGGACTCCTGGAGGAAAGCCCTATGAAATCAGAAATCTCCCACATGGAAAGAGGCTGTTGGGCAAGTCCGAAATATTATTAGTAACTACCAAGGACAGCATTTTGCTGGCAGGTAAACCAGCAAGAAGAAATGGAAATTGATCTCTTTCATGATCAAGCCCATGAATTTGTGTTAATGAACTTGTGCTTGGGTCTTTTTTTTTTTTTGGGCCAAAGTTCAAGAACACAGCAGCCCCTTCTCTGAAGGACACAGGCATTATACACAAGAAAAACCTGCCTCCCCTGAGCAGGTTCACTGTGACAGCGTGCTGATCGAATGAATATGTGAATCCCCAGAACAGGTTCTTATTTACTCATTTCAGACATGTAGTCACAGGAGCAAAACAAAGCGTTCCACTTCTTGCTCTCGATTTCAATTAGCAGTAACAAAGGTAACAGCCTCAGTGGAGAGTCGAGGCAGAAGCCGAGACAAATAACAGTCAACTCTTCGTTATCTGGGCTAATGGGGAAAGAAAGACATGAATAATGGAAAGGTAACAACAATCGAAATGAAACAAAACAAAAACCTCACTCTTGCGTTAAGCAATGTTCCAACCTCTGTCCCTACTAAAACTCTTATGGGGGTTCCTGATGTTATCCTGTGTGGCCTTCCTCCCTAAGAGTCTGGGTCAGAACACTTCATTTCAGAAAAAGCCCTTCCGCTGGCCTCTCTCTCCAGCTGGCTCAGAAACTTAACAGAGCCACGGGGGGGCAGGGGCAGCCCCTGATGGACGCCTGACTCACCTTTGCACACGCGGTACCTAGAACAATGCCTGGTTCATTGTCCACGTTCATTGTTGTCATCGACCTGAGATAACGTCTAACAGAAATAAGCCCAAGTTCCAGCTTGGGCCCTACCGACTGACAAGTCGCGTTATTTCCTCGTGTGAAAACAGAGGAAGGTGGACTGGGCCAGCCCCAGTGCCTCCAGGGAAGGGCACACATCCAGGGGGGTCCCTTTTCCTACCTGAGCTCCAGAGACTGTCATCTACACAGAGGACGGCGGGAGGGGTCCCCTCAGAGCCATGCACCTGTCACACAACCACACCTCTTCTGGTTTTATAAATCAATAAAAAAAAATATGCAGCCTTGGAAGAATGAGTGTGCACAACCTATTTACTGACTGGTCCAGCATTTACAAAGTGCCTGTGAGCCTGTCCAGAATAGAAATACTATTCAAAAGACCTCGCCGATGAGTTGAAGAATTCAGGAGTATAACGAAATGGTAACTAATGTTAAGAAGTCCATATGTGATCGATGCCCAATTAACGAGCCCGCCAATAAATGCCGTGAGACTCCAGGAGAGACATCACTGCCCTAGCTTGGCAACAGAAATCCTTCCTCTGTCCATGCTACACTCTCAGAGTAAGTCATCGCTGTGGTCTGAGGCTAGGCACTAGCTACAGTATTATTTCCTGCTTGTCTTCTGATGAAGCTGATAGCACAGAGCGACAGATCAAAAGAAGAGCAGCAGGAGAAGCAGCAAAAAAACCCCGAGAGCAACCTACTGAGTGAGGGCCAGGTGGCTACACAGATTGAGGCCAAGCTCGGACTGATACTTGGGACACATGCACCTGTCAACAGGAGGCCAGAACTTATCCTCCTACTTGCAAGCGCTCTATGTGAACCATATGCACAGACACCTCCAAATAACCTACAGAAGTAGAAGGGGGCTGCAGTGCCCATAATCCTCGAGCCCACCAACCCCGCGGTCATTTTTTGTGTCCAGGGAGGGCACGGTAATTTTCTGGCGGTGGGGTTTATTTTCCCGGTCGCATTTTGCTCCATCTAGTGTAGCCATGACGCTGCGTTTCCCTGAGCCCATATGCACCGACAGATGGTGTCAGAGGACTAGAATCATGCTAACTACTTCGGGGGAGCCGGCTTGGAATGCAAATGCCATCTGCAGAGAAGTTAAACAGGGAACCTCAGAAACGGACTCTATGATCGGGCGGCCACGCGGAGCGTGACACGTATGCTGCCAGGAAGCCAAACTGTGTCCCCTGCTGTCGTCCTCACACAGCCGAGTCCCCACCATCACACGGCTGACTTGTGCATCCTACCCCTGGAGGATGGGTTCCTGACAAGGGAGGGGACAGATCGTCTTTATTTCTTTACATATGCACTCCCCAGCATAATTCGTGCTTGCTAAACGTGTGAGATGGGAATTGATAAATTAATGTGTAAATCGATATATGGCAGCAGAGCGGGGAAAGCACGGTGCTTTGTGACTATCCTCCTCCGACCGAACACCAGTGGGAATGTGGATACAGCACCGTGTACAAAAGGATTGGCCTCTGGCTCTTGGCCCTAAGAGCAGCTGCTGACCAGCACAGCACAGAGCTGAGATCAGCCAGACACCATGCTTTGCTTCCATCTGCCTGAGGCCAGCCTACTCAGCACAGGTCAAATTCACCACGCGGGAAACCAGAGGCTAAGATCTCTCTTTTCAAACCGCCTACCTCTCTCTTGCTGCTGGCTCTGCTTCTAAAAGCAGCAAAGGAAGAGAAGGCTTTCTTCTTTGCATGAAACAAGACCATTGCTGAGGCCTCCCCGTCCTCCTTTGGCAACACATCTCATGGGTTCAGGCCAAATACAGGGAGAAGGGAGGGCCAGTCTGCCCTGATGTACCATTAACAAAATTAACTTTGGTCCTAGTTCAGACAAAAATAAAGAACTGGTTCTGATAACATTAGATCAAGTAAGCAGAGGTTACAGACTCTCAACATTCTTGCTTTTCAGAGCAATACAGTGGCAAAGAGTACAGAATGTGATTTAACGTCACTAACAAATGGGGGCATCTTCGGCCAGTTGACTTGACCTTGCTGAGTCTCAGTTTCTTCATTTGTAAAACGAAGTAGTTAACCCCAAACGTCCCTTCCAGGTCTGTTGGTATGAATCCCCAAAGCAAATGTGTCAACAAAAGTCACTGGTTACCAAGTAGGGTACATTCTGAAATAATTACTCAGGTATTATTATTATTTATTTTTCTTTCCTGTTTCTATTATCACTCCTTCTAGGTCACACACCAAGCAAAGATAGACAAGTTGACATCTCTAGTTAATTTTTTAGTCATCATGAATTTATATTTCTATATATATGAATTTATATCAATATATAATATATCAATATAAATATATGAATTTATATTTCTATAAAGCTGTATTTGCCAGAATCAATAAAATGGTATCCTTTGTTCCTCCTTGAGATAGGAGGGACAGATTATTATCTCTCTGCTATAGATGAGGAAAGTTGAAATAATTTGCTGAGGTCAATCTACTTATACTCACAGACTTACATCTGGGAGAGTGGTGTGATGTCAGGAGAAAAAGTTTCATCAGAGACACTTACTTCAGCTCATTGGTTTCCATGCCCTGGGCGATGGCCATGATGATGCCGCCATGATCTCCCCAAGTATAGTAGTGAGGTCCAGGAAGTGCCTGAAGAGGAAAAGCCAGTGCTGATGCCACCGCTCTGGAGTGAGCGGGCAGAAACCATGCACACCCCACGGGCACACACACTCACAGACACACACAGAAGCACATGGCCGTGATGCCAACCACTTGAATACAACATTTCAGTTTCCAGAGCACATTCACATCCATTCCCTCCTTTGCTCCACACAGCGGTGAGGACGGGACAGCGACTTCTCGCAAACCCCAATTCTTCCCCCAAATGAAGAAACAAAGGTTGGTATTAAAGCGGCTGACTGTAAACAGCAGGGCGAAGAGTCAAGCCCTGATCTCTGGCCCTCCCCCGTGAGAGTTTACAATTCAACTGGAGTTTCTACCATGAGTGTACAAACCCACAGCAGCCCATCCTTCCTGCCAATTACAAGAAAAAAACTTGGAACAAAATACAAAAAAGGGCTGCCCAAGGATGCTGAAAAGCAAACAAAATCAGGCGGTCTGTGGCAAGGACTTCAAACCTGAGGAGTCACCACGAGGCTGGGGCTTCCTGGTGTGGTTTTGTCCCAAGGGAAAGTCCCAGTCCTGGAACACCTCAGTCCCAGGTGGATGGCCGCAGCATCACCAGAAACCATTTGTGCAGGCCGGGAAGAATGTGGTTGAAACGCCAGCAGGGAGAGAATCAAACAAATAAATCCTCTGTGTATGAACTCACACAACACTCATCCTAACCCCTAACCATACGTGTATGGAGCAGACTGAAACCAACACAGCAAAGGGTTAGTGAACACAATGGAGAGTTGCACTGTCACCCTGAGAATGCAGGAAGAAACCCACGGTCTGAACCTAAGCAGATTCACTCCACGCTAAAACGAAAATATCCACACCTTCCAGAAGACTGTATTCCATGCATGTCATTCACATGTCCAAGAGACAACCCAAAATAACTCAACACAGACATCTGCCAATGAATCGTGTCCAGTTCTCAAGGGAAAAGGCAATCAACAGGTGTCAACCTCACCAAGATGGCTCAAATGCTGGAATTACCAAAGACTTGAAATTATTGATCATAACTGTGTCTCATGGAGTAAAGGAAAACACACTGAAATGAACAAAAGACTAGGATTCTTCCCAGAGAAGTGAAAGCTATCCTTTAAGAAAAGAATTTTAGAACAGAAAAATATAACATGTGACATTAAGAAATTAATGAATGAGCTCAACAATTGAATGGAAATGACAGAGGAACTGGTGAACACGGTGAGAAATATAGAATGGAGAAATTACCCATTCCAAAGAACACTCAAAAAAGAATGAAGAGGGGAAAAAGTCCCAAAGACTGGGAGGATAATAATAAAAGGTCTAGTGTGTATGACTGGAGTCCAAGAAGAACAGGAAAAAGGAACCAGAGCAGGAAAAAAAAATTTTTTTTGAAGAAATAACGGCTGAAAATTTGCCAAATTTGGTAAAAAGACATACATTTATAGATTCAAGATCAGCATACCCAAACAGGATAAACACAAAGAAAACCAGACCTAGATACATCACAGCAAAACTGCTGAACACCAAAGATAAGGAAAAAGCTCCTGAAGCCTTTAGACAAAATGACAGATTGCGTGCAAGACAGTGATGACTGAAATGACTCTAGATTTCTCATCACAAACCAGAGAGGCAAGACGGCTGTAGCACATCTTTAAAGCACTGAGAGAAAATCGCCATCAAACCAGAATTCTATATCCAACGAACATGTCTTCTGGGAAGGAAGAGGAAATAAAGAGATTCTCAAATGAGGGAAAAACCAAGAAAATGTGTATGGTAGATAGGCGCAAGAAGAAACAGTAAAGGAATTTCTTAAGGCCGTAGGGAAACTTACCAGGGGGATACAGGGATTCTCGGGAATGAAGGAAGAACAAAAGAAATATCTGGGTAAATATAAAAAATTGCTTCTTTCCCCTTAAATTCTCTAAAACTGATATAATAATGTAAAGCAAAATGAAAGCAAGAACATTGTCTTGTAGGTTTTTTAATGGACTTCAATGAGATACACAGGCAACAATAACAGAAATGTCAGGGAAAGAGAAATGGGATGTACATGCTTGCACGGTTTCTAAATTTTATGTGAAGGGCAACATTATATTAAGAGCAATATTAATTTTAAAAAGACTATGAAAGATTAAATACACATGTTGTAATCCTTACAGCAACCACTGAAAGAAATATAATAAAAAAAAACCAGTCTCTAAATAAAAGTAAAATGCCAAAGCCATCTAAATGATATAGAAAAGTCACTAAAGGAAGAACAGAGGGATAAAAAACAAAGATCATACGTACATACATAAAACCTTGGACCTAAATCCAATCATACCAATAATTATGTTAAATGCTAATGGTCCAGACATTTCAGTTAAAAAACAAAGCCTTGAAGAATGGATAAAAAAACAAGACCATCCTATATGCTGCCTGTAAGAAATGCTTCAGATACAGACACCAGTGAGCACAAAGTAAAAGCATGGTAAAAGATAAACTACTGAAACAGTAAACGTAGAACGGTTGGAATGATTATTTCAATCCTAGATAAAACAGACTTCAAGACAAAGGTTATCACCATTGATAGAGAGGGCTATTTCATAACAATAAACGGGACAAGAACAGAAAAGATAATTATAAAGTGTGCATGAACTGAATCAGAGCCTCAAAATACAAAAGATAAAACTGAGGAGATTTAAAGAAAAACTTGGCAATTCCACATAGTTGGAGATTTCACCATGGTTCTCTTAGCAATTACCAGAACTAGCCAAAAAAAGAAAAAGAAAAAGAAAGAACATAAAAGATCTGAACGGCAGCATATCAACCACCTTCATAGAAATAACACCTTCATGTAACTAACATCTGACAACAGCAGAATACACATTCCTTCCTAATGCATATGATGGATGCAAGATAGGCCACATATTAGATCCCAAAGTAAGTCCCAATAAATTTAAAGGGATCAAAATCACACAAAGTATATTCTCACACTACAAGGCAATTAAATTAGAAATCAAACATGTACGATATCTAGGAAATTTCAAGTATCTGAAAACTAAACAACCCTTTTCTAAATAACTTATCAAAGACAAAAAGCAGAAGGGATATTTTGAAGTAATAAAAACATTCTGGAATTAGAGGTGATGGTTGCGTATCACATCACTTGTGAATATAGCAAAACCCCACCAAACTGTACACTTTAAAGTGGTGAATTTTATGTGATTTACATCTCAACTTCAAAGGGGGACATAAGGAATATTCTGAACTGAATGACAAAAAAAAATACAACACCTCTAAATTTGTGACAGTAGCCAATGCAGGATTTAGAGGAAAACTTAACAGCTTTAAATGCTTATATTGAGGAAAAAACATCTAAAAATCAATGACCTAAAGTTATACCTTAAAAAAAGCTACAAAAAGAAAAGCAAATTAAATCCAAATAAGGGAAAATACTAAAGAGAAAAAATCAACAAAATAGAAGACAAACCAAACAAAGCCATAAGCACGTTCTTTGAAAAGATCAGTAATATTGACAAACCACTAACTAAACTATTAAGCAAAATGGGAAAAACCCCACAAATCCTCAATATCAGGAATAAAAACAGGTGAGCACCACAGACCCTGGAGACATTAAGCCAACAAATTCAATGACTCCGATGAAACTCACTAAAACTGACGCAAGTAGCAGAAAATCTAAACCGTTTTCTAGCAACCAGAGACACTGAATTTTTTCTAACCACATTCCCAAAAAGAAGACTCCGGGTTCAGATAGTTTCACTGGTGAGTTATTCAAGAAAGAAAAATCACCCCATTTTTAGATGAAAGAGGAGTCACTGTTCAACTTGCTCAATGACACCAGCCCAACCCTAACACCAAAACTTGAAAAAGACATTATCCCCACCCAAAAAAACAAAAAAACAGACCAATCTCTCTCATGAATAATGTAAAAATCTTTAACAAACTATTAGACACTCAAACCTAACATTGTATAGAAAGGATAATACATCATTAATAAACAGTGTCTGTCCCAGTAATTCAAGGTTCATATAACTGTCAAGAATCAATCAATATAACATACCACAACATACATGTAACATACTGTATCACCTATGTGATATGAAAAGAAATATGTATTTTGGTCTTGGGTCCCAGCTTCCAGTCAGAGCTCCTAAAAACCCCTGCACCATCTCCTGACTGATGGGGGTGATGTATGATGTGGGTCTTACACAGAAACTTCTATATCGTTGAGAACTTCCAGGAAGATAGCAGAGTCTTTGGTTGTAAGGAGGCAACTCTTGGTGGACTCCTGGACAGTACAGGCACTGGCCACCAGAAAGACAAAGCATGACTAGAAGCTTGAAACTTCCAGCCCTGCCTCAACCCCCAGGGAAAAGACAGGGGCTGGAGACGGAGTTAATAATCAATCATGCCTTCGTGATGAAGCCTCCATTAAAAAAAAAAAAAAAAAATCCCTAAACTGCGGCATTCAGAGAGCTCCCAGGTTGGCAAACACATCCACAAGCTGGGAGGTTGGCACGTCGCAACGCCAAGGGGGACAGAAGCTCCCGTGCTTAGGATCCTTCCAGACCTTGCCCAATGGACCTCTCCATCCAGGTGCAGCCTTTGTAATATTCTTATAATCAACTGGATGTAAATAAGTATTTCCCGAGTTCTGTCAGCCATTCCAGCAAATTCCTGAGCCCAAGAAGCGGGGTCAGGGGAGCACCCTATTTATAAGCTGGTCAGTCAGAAATATGGGTGACAACTTGGGACTTGCAGTGAGCATGTGAAGTGAGTGGGGGGCAGTCTTGTGAGCCTGAGCCCCTCACTTGTGGGGTCTGTGCTAACTCCAGCCAGCTAGTGTCATGGCTGAAATACAGGACATCCGGTTGGTGTCCAGAGAACTGGAGAATTGCTCACTGTGAGGGGAACCTCCCCTAGCATTTGGTATCAAGAGTAAAGGAAAAGAGGGGTTTTTTACACTATATTACATATTGCCATATTATTACATATTAGGGAAGAGAAGAAAAGGAAGAGAGAGAAAGAAAGAAAAGACATAAAGATCAAAAAGGAAGAAATAAAATAGGTCCCTATGTGCAGACAGATGATTATCATCTCTTATACAGAATCTACAAAACTACTACTAACACTAACGAATTATTTTAGCAAGGCTGTAGAATACAAGGTTAATCGATAAAAATCAATGGTATTCCTATACCCTATAATAAAAATTAGGATGTAAACTTGAAAAAAACTGTATTTACAATAATACCGAAAATTTGTAAAATATCTAGCAATAAAACTAACCTACAAGGTATATACAAGGCCTCCACATTGAAATCTAAAAAATATTGCTCAGTGAGATTTAAAAAGAAATGAAAAGAGGCGCCTGGATGGCTCAGTGGTTTAAAGCTTCTGTCTTCGGCTCAGGTCATGATCCCAGGGTCCTGGGATCGAGCTCCACATCGGGCTCTCTGCTCAGCGGGAAGCCTGCTTCCCGCCCACCCCCACCCCCCCGCCACCGCTCTGCCTGCCCCTCTGCCTACTTATGAACTCTGTCCAATAAATAAATAAAATCTTTAAAAATTTTTTTAAAAATAAAAAGAAATGAAGAAACATACTACATTCACAGATCAGAACACTAAATAGTGCTAAGAGGTCAATTATCCCCAAATTGATCTATAAATTCAATGCAATCCAAGCCAAAATCACAGCAGGTTTTGCAGAAGTTGACCAGCGGATTCTAAAATGTTGTAGAAATACAAAGGATCTAGAATAGTCAAAGAAATTTTTAAGAAGAACAAAGTTCAGAGGCGCCTGGATGGCTCATCTGTTTAACGACTCTTGGTTTCATTTCAGATAGTGATCTCAGGGTCATGAGACTGAGGCCCAGGTTGGGCTCCGGGCTTAGGTCAGAGTCTCCCTGGACTATCTCTCTCTCTCTGCCCCTCCCACACACACGCCCCCACTCACCCCACACCTCACGCCCCCCCCTGCTCGCTCACTCTCACTCTCTCTCTCCTTCTAAAATAAATAAATCTTAAAAAAAAAAAGAGAGAGAAAGAACAACAAAGTTGGAAGACTTACACACTTGATCCCAACACTTACTGTTAAGTCTCCCATAATCAAGACAGTTTGGTACAAGTGAAAGGACAGACATGCAGATAAATGAAAAGATGAGAAAGTCTACCAAGTTCTGAAACAGACCCATGCATAGACGACCAGTTGATTTTCAAACAGACATGAAGTCAATGCGAGGGGAGAAAGAAGTCTTTCTCAGTAAGTGGGGCTGGATCCCTGAATCTCCACATGGAAAAATGAGTGGCAAACCCTCCCATCGCACCAGATATCAAGATTAATTCAAATGGATCATAACCCTAAACTACAGCCTTACACTATGAAATTTAGGGGTAAATCTTTGCAAAAGGGACAAACATTTCTCAGAACAACAAAGAGCATAACATCCAGAGGAAAAGTCCTGCTAAATCAGACCTCAGCAAAATTTAAAACATTTGCTCTTTGAAAAACACCATTAAGAAAATTTTTTAAAAAAAGCAAGCCACAGACTAAGGAAGATACTCATGACACACATATCAAACGAAAGACTTAACTTTACATTTTTCAAAAAAAACATCCTACACATCCATAAGAAGGCAAACAACTCAATTTTTTAAAATAAGTATAAGATTTGAACAGACACTTCACAAAATGATTTTTAAATGCCCAATGGGCACGTGAGAAGAAGCTCAAAGTCATCAGTCACCAAGGAAATGCCAATTAAAACCATAATGAGACACCACTGTGTACTCATTAAAACGTCTAAAATTTAAAAAGAGTGACCATACCAAGTGCCAGTGTGGACCTGAGGCGATTAGAAGTCTCAGACAACACTGAGACAGCCCCCACTTTGGACAAAAATTTGGTCATTCCTTAAAAAAAGTTAAACACAGACCCATCAAGCTGCCCATCATTCCACTCTGAGGTATTTACCCAAAAGGAATACAAATGTGCATCTATCTAAAAAAAAAAAAAACATATAATTAAGTGTTTATAATAGCTATACTTATAATCAGCAAACACTGTAATGTCCACCAACAGATGAATGGATAAGTGAATTGTGGAATATCCCTACAATGGGATACAAATCTACAATAAAATAGGAAAGAACCACTGATACATGAAACAACATGAATGGGCCTCAAAATCATCATGATGAGTGTCAGAAGCCAAGCAAAAACCCAGCATATTATGAGTCCATTTACATAAAATTCTAGGAAATGCCAACTAACCATTGGGCAGGGATGAGGTAAAGAGAAGGATGGATTACGGGGGGGACGAAGATGCTTTGGGGAGTGATGGACATGCTTGTTGTCTTCATTGTGGTGTTGGTGACGGTGCAGCAATGGTGACCAACTCTGATGAAACTGTACACTCAAAATATGCAAGGGCCTCCATAAAGTTGTTAAGGAAGAAAAGCACAGAAAAGGAACTCAAGATCAGAGAATTTGCACAAGTCTTTAGTAGCGGAGGAGAAACAGGTCTTCTAGTCACTGATTTTCTAGACAGCTCTGTCCACCACATCCTACCTCACCCTTCCCTGTCTTTGCCCCTCACGCCCCAGGCTGTCCCTCTCACGTGATCACTGCTGCCCAAGGGCACTCAGATGCTCACTCACACAGACATGATCTCAGCCTTCTCCCCTACTTCGCTCTCTGCTCTTTGCAAAACGAAGGTCCCTTGTGCAATGGCTGCTTCCTGGAAGGCGTGAAGCAGGCCAGGCAGGAGGCACAGGCAGCTGCCCCAGTGTGAGCCAGACGATACCACTTCACCGGAAGAGGAACAAGACCCTGCTTTCTCCCCAGAAGGAAATCACTTGCAGATGTTCAAATCCCAGATTACACCACCATCAGAAGGTCCAAACAAACCACAAGCCTGGTCGCTGAGGAGAGAACACCCAATTTCAAAAGGAATGTCTGGCTCCAGTGAAGAGGAGAACAGCTGCTTAATCCTTCCCGTGGGGGCAGAGCAAGAGTGCTCCCCAAACTCCAAACCGTTCACCCTTTAGGACTACCGGGCCTTCACCTCGTCTTACATGCGAACATGTGATCATGGTCTCCACCTTACCGGCCAGTTGTTCATGTAGGCACACCTGCAAGCTCTGGGCCCCCGATCACTCAGCCTCAGGGATGGGAGGCCCTACCTACCTCACAGAGATAAGATATGTGATGGGTCTCTGCCAACCACACAGAGCCAAATGAATGCTGGGTATCACCAATGCTTTACATAGGACAGATTTAAATACAAACGTGTATATATTGCGTTCCCAAAAGGAAGCACCATGAGGGGACCCCCTGGGTGGCTCAGTCGGTTAAGCAGCTGCCTTTGGCTCAGGTCACGATCCCAGAGTCCTGGGATCGAGCCCCACGCCAGGCTCCCTGCTCAAAGGGGAGCCTGCTTCTCCCTCTGTCTGCCTCATGCTCTCTCTCTCTCTCTCTCTCCCAATAAATAAAATTAAAAATCTTAAAGAAGGAAGGAAGGAGGAAGGAAGGAAGGAAGGAAGGAAGGGGCACCAAGAGGCTGGCTGGGTCTTCTGAGAACCACATCCCTCCCGCCATCATGCTCTACCTACACAAGGTGCTCAATTAAATTCTTATCCTATGATCTGTTGAGTTTTCCTGCTGGCTCCCCACATGGGCAGCAGAGTCCCGCTAAAAGCAACCCCCCCAAATGAGACCAGCTGTAGTTCCCTTGGCCCTCGTAAATCATGAGAGGCTGGTGAAAGTTTTGTTTTGTTTTGTTTTGTTTACAAGTTTGGCAATCCTCTAACACCCAAGGCCGAGTTAGCATTCGGGGACCACAGGACTAGCTCTGCTCTCAGAACTGGTATCAGCAGTGCCTACGGACCTGAAGCAGCTCTGCAGACGTTTTAAGGCAGAAACGGTCTTTTTCCACAGCACAGAGTGAAATGGAAGGGCCTGCCCGGCACGGCCCGCCAAGGAGAGGCCTGACGTCGATTTCGTTACGATGCAACAACAAATGGCCAGTTTCATGCCAGATGCCAGTACAAGCCCACAGCCATTTGCTCATAGATTCTGCAAATATTTACACAGTGCCCCCTCCCTGCCAGGCACTGCTCGGTTCTAGGGGTGAAGAAGTTAAGCAGAGAGACAGTGCTTTGTCCCCTCGGGGCATTTAGTTAAATTTACAGTCGTGAGGGCAAGAGAAGGTCTGTTTTTGATTCAAAGGAATATTTCTGGCAACATCACGAGCCCTCATTACAAGGTGTGAACACAAGATCAGTGCAGCTGACGCACTCGTGTGGCTCTGGGTACCCTCCTTTAATTTTACAGTCACACTTGGCGCCGCTGGCCTCCCCATGGGCCACACGTGATCCTGAAAGGTGGAGGCACGGCCATGATCTCCGACAAACCAGAACCCTGGCTGGCAGCTGGGGGGGGGGGGGGGGGGGGGGGGAAGCTGACCTCTCGCCACCGGGCTCCTGCGCTGCTAGAAACGTACACATTCGTCTTGCTTGCCAAGTTCTTTCCCACCGAACCTGAAAGGCAAGAGGAGTAATGACCTTCCACTTCAAGAAGAGGTCGGATGCTCACCCTGCCCGACCAGAACTGCCAGTCACATTTAGCAACTACAGATGTCTCAGAACATCACAAACGCCGTGGCCACGGAGGAGGTCAGCGTTCCCCGTGTACTCGGCCGCGTGTCCCCGAAGAGCTTCAGACCGCAGCGGGGACAAGCGTCGCGGACTTACCAGTGGCGATGATGAGACCGGGAGCGGACTCCTTGGACAGGATGGGCATCCTTCGGAGCTGGAGGTTGAGCAGCTGACTGAGCCGCTGGGCCAGGTGCAGGGAACAGCCTTGGGCGAGCTACGGGACACAAGTGCCAGGCACCGTCAGTGTGGGATAGGAGGCCTCCAGCTCCCTCAAAACACAGGCCTGGGTGCAGACCATGCAGCCACACACACAGAAAGGAAATCTGGCTCAGAGGAACCCAGACGCAGAGCCCAGCTGGCCCCTCACTACCTCTCTCAGGTGGATATGATTATCTGAATCACAAAAAGGCCTCTCCTTGAAGAAAAGAGAAAAATACGAGTAAAAAAATCCTCCTGAGACTCTCAGAGAACAGCAATTAGAAATCAGTGCCGGGGCGCCTGGGTGGCTCAGTGGGTTAAAACCTCTGCCTTCGGCTCAGGTCATGATCTCGGGGTCCTGGGATCGAGCCCCGCATCGGGCTCTCTGCTCAGCGGGGAGCCTGCTTCCCTCTCTCTCTCTCTGCCTGCCTCTCTGCCTACTTGTGATCTCTCTCTAACAAATAAAATCTTTAAAGAAAAAAAAAAAAAAAGAAATCAGTGCCAACGAAAGTCGATCGAAAGTGATCCCTCCCTCTGTTTTACCCCAGAGATACTCTCGCGTGACTCGGCACGAAAAAGAAATGAAATGCTTTCGTGGGACTTATTTCCTAAGTCCGTAGAGATACATTTCAAATAGGAGGTAAGCAATGCCATTAGAGGAAAAATCAAGAATCAGAAATCATTAAGTCTCCCTGATAAGCTCCCAGATGTACCACATGAGAGCTACAGACACCGAAGGGTCCACATTAAAACCGATTTAAAGTAGTGAGCATTTGTACAGGGCACCAGCTCTGCTGCGTCCACTGCAAAACAAGTCATTCGAACGGGCCACTTACATTCGGATTTTAATAGTTCTGCAAACAACACCGTTTGCCGTGTGGTCACTCCTGATCGTCCTGGCCAGAAAGTCGTTGTCAAGTGTTATTCAGCCTCGTCTGGTGTGCTTACGTGAGCAGGTAAAAATAGACACGGTTTTGCTACATACACTCATTTTTATAACAAAAGGATCTCTCTAGCAAATGTCCATCTTGCTAGGATCACAGTTTGATGTGAGCAAATGAGGAAGGTTGGATCTCAAGGAAATTATCTATCAACCAACCTGTTCTTTCACCATCTAAAATCACAGGTAGAAGCTAAGAGCTCACCAACTGCTGTACAGCTCATAAATAGGTCAGTCAGGGAATAAGTGGGGTTTTAATAATGCCATTAATTCCACTTAACTAGGGCTCAGACCCCAACAGCACGCTGAAAAGCAGGCCACCCCCATCCACACAGGCCCGTGCAGAGCTCCTAAAATCTAGAAGCCGCTCCAGAATAAAGCAGCACCTGTGTAGTTGTCTCTTTCTACTCATACCCTGCCTCTTTCCAAAGTTAGACTTGATGTACAAAGTCGGCACCTGTTGCGAAATCAGCAAGAGTAATCAAGAAATCCAAGGAGACAAGAGTCTCCAAGAAAACTTTCCCCAGTGGCCAGAGCTACAGCATAGAGTACAGTCAACACACTTCATCATGGGCAAACAAGACTGAAAAACCCCAAAGATCAGGTAACCGTCTAATTAAATGTTACAGTTTTCCCAAGAATTACCACTACATATTTTTTTTTTTCTGAGTTCCTTCTGCCTACCTACATTACTTATTCCAGATCCCTGAAGTGAGGCAAAAATGGAAGTGTGGGGCGTCATATAAAGCCAAGGAACTCAGTCCACAGAATGTTCTTCCGAGGGAAAAGAACAGAGCTGCTGAGGCGGGCAGGAACACTTACTGAGGCCAAATAATACATTTTAGTACTCCCAGCTTTTCAGATGGAGCCACAGATTGGGAAAACAGTAGAACCCTAAATTATATTCAGGAAGGCACTTTTTTTAAAAAGTTCCACAGAAATAAAAAACTTAATCAGAATTTCCCAAACTTTCTTGCTTCGCAGCACAATTAGTGTCCTCATAAAATTTTTATAGCAGCTTCAAGCCAGAAGAAATACCAACATTTATTGTTTTACGTAGTTAAGGCCAAACAACTTAATAAGTAGTTCTAATAACTTAGCAGCAGTTCAAAATAATAGTGTGCATGCGTATGTAAATATATACACACACACATAGAGAAAGAGAAAGAGAGAAAACAAAATTTCTATTTCACTCTTAGATAACCACAATTATTTAACATGGGATATATCTACCTGCTGGGTACCACGCCCCTTCTCAAAGTTTAGAGTCATATTAGATCCCACCACCGCCGTCATTACCCATTCCACCCTGATTTTCTCCCTTGCTTTTTACCACATCAACTGCTAGGAAATCCAGCTTCACACAAACAGGATGCCTTCCAAAGAAATTCAGCATGAACTCATTTTGAAACGAGGAACTAAACTCAAGATGGTACTTGCCACAATGACCAACAAATACCAAGTACCTTATGTTTCCCTCAAAAAATTTAAAACATCCCAGAGTGCCCCCTGGGAGTTCACTACGGCACCCCCTAGGTGCCCTGCTGCTGAGTTTGAGAACTGTAAGGGCAGTATAACCAGCTAAAAAATTTGTAGTAAAAGCTCAAACAAGACGAAAGCATCTCTACCTCACAGTTGATTTTTTCTCCATATTCTGTGAAGGCTGGAGCCTGAAGGAACTCCCAGGTACCCCCTTTGTCAAAGGTGATGACTGATCTCATGTTCTCTTCATTCATGGAACCGTTAATCAGAGTAGCGATGTAGACTCCTTGCAACCCTTCCACGCGGTGGAAGTCGGCGAACGGCTCATTTGCAAAATACCTACAGTAAGAGAAAATAAACAGCTGTGAACCTGAACTGATATTTCCTTGGTGTGTTTTTATCGTAAATGACATAAAATTTAACTGTTGAGAAGTACAAAATTCAGTGGCATTAAGCACATTCCCAATGTTGTGTTATACCTGCATCACTATCTTCCAGATTAGTTCCAGAATTTTCCGCATCTCAAAAAGAAACCCTGTACCCACCAGCAGTCATCGCCCCTTTCCCCTGCCCACCCCAGGCCCCGGCAACCACCACTGAGTTTTCTGTCGCTACAGATTTGCCTATTCTGGACATTTCATATACACGGAAACATGCATTTTTTATGGTTCTTTTCCCACAGCGTAATATTTTCAAGGTTCACCCATATTGTAACACAAATCAGTACTCCATTCCTTTATATAGATGAATAGCCTTCTCTCACTCTTTTTTTTTTTAAAACGTGCTTGTGTTTTAACTTTGAAGGCTAAGATGCTTATTGGATCAATAAGTCCTCGCAGGGAGTTCAGAATGCTGGCTACGACACACAGAGCTGATGACAGGGTCACAGCTATCACTTCGCTGATGAATTCACCCCAAATCCTCCAGTGAGCCTCAACAAACAGGAACAGGAAGCCAGACTTTCCAGACACTAGTCAAAGCGGTGGGCTTACAAGCGGCAGAAATCCAGCGCGAAAGGTTCCCCAGCCACTGTCCACACGCTGACGACTCATTCTCTGATGCCCTGACAGACCCCAGGCCCACGGGGTTCCTCTCGGAAAGCAGAGCAGAACTCCCACCCAAGGAAGCAGGATAGAGAGCAAAAGTGGCTCTAGAACCTTGAGGTTGTACTTCTTAATAGTGAAACAGAGAATAAGGCCCTCCCAGGGCCTGAACTACTACGCTGGGATACTGATTTCACTGGGAAGCCGTTTTGCCCTGAAATGGTCCACCCATCCCAAATGGAATGAATTTCTGAGAAGCGCCAACCAGAGTTCACACAAGGCTTTTAACTGGATGTGTGTCCTTTGCTTAGAAGGGTTCTGAGCCACTGGGCTGTGTAAAAAAAAAAAAAAGAAAAGAAAAGAAAAGAAAATTTTAATTAAAAAGAATCACAGAACTGGGAGCCTGGGTGGCTCAGTGGGTTAAGCCTCTGCCTTCGGCTCAAGTCATGATCTCAGGGTCCTGGGATTGAGTCCTGCATCAGGCTCTGTGCTCAGCAGAGAGCCTGCTTCCCCTTCTCTCCCTGCCTGCCTCTCTGCCTACTTGCGATTTCTCTCTGTGTGTCAAATAAATAAAATTAAAATTAAAAAACAATCACAGAACTGCTTTTTTCCGTTATCCACTGTACAGATCTTGAGCTGGAGGAGTGCTCTGTCTCCTCAGACAGAAAGAAGCACACTACAAGCTCTGAGGCAGAAAGGAAAATTTTTAAAAAGCACTGACAGAGCTACTTCAGACTAAGAGACCGAGCAAAATCCTAAATAAGATACTGATGTTGAGACCAAATATTCTAACATGTGGTTTCCTTAGGTCTACTGGAGTTGTTTTTCGGTCGCTTCCTTAGAAATCAGTTGAAGGTCTATCACCCACCAGCTCTCTGTTCATGTGTTCACCTCAGCGTTGGATCCCATCATCATAAGGCTGCCACCGTCAGGTTCAAAGGCTTCCTTCAAACATGAAGGAGGGTCTGGCTTTCTCTCACCTAGATGAGCTCTGCTTCTTCCCTCTGATCACTCTCCTGGATTTTTGTCTTTCGGTTCCAAGGTTCTAGAAACCTGTTCTCTGTGCCTCACACGCTCCCCAGACTGTCCTGTCAGCATCTCTGTGGTCCTATGACAGTTCACCTCCCCCTAAGTGCCCTCTCTCTGTCCATTTTTCTTACATTTCCTCTCACCAGCCCTCAGGACAGCACTTGTCCCCTGCTCCCTGGCCAGCACCCCGGGGCCCCTAGGCCACCCTCCTGCAGAACCCAAGTCTGCCTCGCCACGCACAACCCAGGCCCTCCTCAGATGCCCCACCAGGCCTGACATTTCTCCACACCTGGTCCTCCACACGGACACCGCTTGCCATGAGATTTCTATTCCACACATCTCACTAATGCCAAGAGCACCCCATTAAGAATTCTTTCTCCAGTCCTCTAAGCAAATTAGGATGGGTTCCTTGGCACCGCACTTGCCTATTGAGTTCAAAGAACAACTCATTTCAAATACCACAGAAAAGCTGTGTTTTGTTTTGTTTTTTTCAAATCAGCCTGCCCACATAATCTGCTAATTCACCCTTATCCCATTTCATCTCACTGAGAGGCAGAAGCAGGTGACAAGTTCACTCACATGAGCCCCTGTGAAGATCTCCAGGCCCTGAGATAGAGTCTAAAGAAAACAACCAGAAGGCTGAGCCTATGTGGTTCTGTGAACATACACATAAAACTCTTTCCAGTTTCCTAACAGGACTGTACGCTCCGGCACGGCGGAAGCGACCTTTGTGACCACAGAAAGGGCCTTGTGCGTCTACAAGAGGGCCACACAGTCAACGAACTGGGCTTATTACTTCCTGGGGGAGCTTCTGGCTCTGGCTCTGCCCAGTCACGAGATACCCATCCCAAACAGCCCCCACGTGTGGGGATCCAGAAACCTTCGGCGAGCTCTGATTTGTCCACTCCGTAGTGAAGGGCTCTCAAACGTGGGGGAAAAAAAAATCAGAGTCTGTGAAAGGCCTGAGGAAAAATGGGCTTATAATTTTAATTGTTAAAAAAGTAAAGAGGGGCGCCTGGGTGGCTTAGTGGGTTAAGCCTCTGCCTTCGGCTCAGGTCATGATCTCAGGGTCCTGGGATGGAGCCCCGCATCGGGCTCTCTGCTCAGCGGGGAGCCTGCTTCCCCCCTCTCTCTGCCTGCCTCTCTGCCTCCTTGTGATCTCTCTTTCTCTCTCTGTCAAATAAATAAATAAAATCTTTAAAAAAAAAAGTAAAGAAAATATTATTCACCTGTTAAAAAAAAAATAATAAAACACTGATAACATGCTCCATGTGGACAAACTCTGAACACGCGCAAGGGGCAAGAGGCCAGACCCAAAGGTCACATATTATGCTGTGATTCTGTTTACACAGAATATCCAGAGAAGATAAACCTACAGAGACAGAAAGGAGATTAGAGGCTGCCAAGAGCTGGGTTTGGGGGTGGGGGGAGCACTAAAAACTGCTTAGCAGTAAGGGATTTTCTTTCAGGGAAGTAAAAATGTTTTGGAATTAAAGCTGGTGGTTGTACAATACTGTGAATGCCCTAAGTATCACTGAGTTGTTCACTTTAAAATGGTTAAGCTAATGTTCTGTGAATTTCACCTCAATAAATTACTTTAAAACAAAACAAAACAAAACGAAACAAACACGAAAAGAACGCAGGAGCCAGCCCAAGTGCCAGCCCATTGGCAGCGGCCAGACTGCCACTGACCAAACCAGAAAAACCTGAGGCTGAATCATGGTAGGAATGGTTTACAACACATTAACATGCACCAAGTAATAAATAACTCATGAGACTATACTGGGAGGGAAAAAAAAAATTAGGCATAAAATAGGACATACCTCTGAAAGAGCCAAAACAGGGCATGGAAAAGCATGCTCAGAGACCAGGTAGAAAGTTCTCCCCTTAGGTCCTGGTGAGTTCAAACCCAAGGTCTGGCTCTTTTCCTCAACACCGTCTCCGCACCCAGCCCTCCCCAACTCCCTGACTCAGCCCATGGCCATCATTCTGCCAGCGGCTCAGCCCAAGTAACCGTGGGCCCTTGACTCTCCAGAGACAAGCAGCCAATCTACCAGCAAACCATCAGAATTTGCCCAATTCCGTCATCTCTGCCGCTGCTGCCCTGGGCCCAGCCAAGAGCAATCCCTGCTCACTGGATTGTCGTCCCACCCCCACAGCCAGCCTTCCTGCCCCCACACCCCGGCTCCTCTCCGGGAGCCTGCTTCGCACACAGCACTGAGGACGGCTTCTTTAAAACACAGCTCACCTGAGTGCTCGTCTGAGATGACTGATAACACTGTCCCTTTATGTTTCAGGTGCTTCCCTTTAGATCATGCAATTCATAATTTTTTTAATGGTTAAAAAAATATAACAGGTTAAATCAGATGATGTCCATCTTCTGGTCAAAACCCTCCATATTCCACTTGGGAAAAAAGTGCTTTCCATGTCCTCGAAGGCCTTTTACAAACTGAGCTCTGCTCTCTCAGTGCCTGTCTCTTGGGTTCTCCCCCTCCCTCCTCCTCCTATTAGATCCACCCTGGTCTCCTCCCTGCTCCTAAAATAAACCCCCAGAACCCAACCTCAGAGCCTCCGAGCATGCTGTTCCCTCTGCCTGCAGTGCCCTGCTCCCGGCACCTGCCGGCTCCCTCGCTCATGGAACTCAGGCACCTGCTGACATGTCACCATCCTCGAACAGCCTTCCACGACCAGCCAGTATGAAGTACCATGTTCCCAGTGCCCTGTCTTCTTAATTTGTTCACTTTGTCTCCCAGCACCTACCACCACCAGGCAAATTACACACCTATTTATGTTCTGTCTTCCCCCAAAGAGAACAGAAGATCCACAGAACAGGGTCCCTGTTTTGACTTTTCATGGCCGGACACATTATCTCAGTGCAGTGCCCGGAAGAAGGGCTGGCCCCGCGCAGCAGTGTCCCTGCTGAAAGAGCTGGTGACTGAATAAATCACCAGCCTGACGAGAGACCGTGGACAGCAATGCCACGTCCTGTGACCTGGTGGTCGTGGCCTTGGAGCTGGACCTCGCTGCCCAGAGGCCAGCTCCAGCAGAGGGCTCCTTCCAAGGGCAGACAGTGAGGCTCACCACAGTCAGACGCCTCACAGAAGACAAGAGAATAAACGCCCTCCTGGCCCTCAAGGGTCACAGGTCGTCCATCCCTCCCAAACCCTGGACTCCCCCGCAGCCCATGGAAAACGTCCATAACTACAAAACAGCTCCAAGCCCAGAGGTACTGATAAAGGATGGACAACACTGGTGTCTTTCCACAGACATCCACAGAGCAGGACTTGCAATTACAATAAGAAAAAAAAATGTCAATGAACCCATCACTTGGAGGCAAGACCCTCGGGGCTCCCCACGCCAGCTCACCCCGAGCTGACATTTTCCCCATGCCTTTTCCCACGGGCTCAGAGACCACAGAGCCAGACAACTGAAGAGGAGGAACGCAGGGAGTGGCTGACATGGGCTGTGACCCTAAAGGTCACCAGGACCGCCATGCTCACTCAGATCACCTGAGGGGCTTTGTAAAACCTTCAGAGTCTGGCCGCACCCCAAACTGGCCAAACCCCAAACCGGGCATCGGGGTTTCTGACAACTCACCATCGGAACCCAAATGTGCAGCTAATGCTTAAAAACACCCAACTTGAGGGCACAGGTGGTGCTAACGTGAGACAGCGGGTGAGGGACCCACGGCGTCCTTACCTCACCAGCGTGTCGCCACCCGCCCCTCCCGGACTGTAGTAGAGCACGTTCTCCAGGGACAGGGAGAACTTCAGGCCCTCTGCCTCCGAGATGTATAAGTTGGTGCGGTTATTGCTGTGACTGACGCATACAAACACCTGGTCCTCGGAGGCGTCTGCGATGTAATATTCCTTTGGAATCAAAAGTCGAAAGAAACACAAGTCAAAAAACACACTCGTGCCTTGGGCTTTCCCTAGGCCCACTGAAGTAATGATTTCCCAATGTCCCAGTGACAGGTATGGGCCCAGAGCCCACAGACAGCTTCCCAAATCCTGGGGAAGCTTGGCCAACTTTCTTTTTGGAGGAGCTGAAGCCACCGGGTTGCTGGAGCAAGCCTCTTCCCGGCAAATGGGGCCTAAAAGCGGCGACCACTGAACTCCATCAATGATCTAAAACCTTCAGTTTAGTTCATAATGTCTCCGTCTACTTCCCGTGAGGTCTATCATTACTACCAAGTACAATACACGTTCATATGCATTTCCTTTCCTTTCATTCTCTCTAAGGTACTAAAGGAAGGTGGAAGCCGTAAAAAGCAAAGAATGGACAAGAATGTTCTCCACCTGAGCTCCCAAACCTTCCACCACACCGAATGCTAGCGGCAAGGCCTTCAAATGCCACCTCCTGACTGTGGGCGCTTCTCTGATGACCCCAGCCCACGAAGATCCTTCCTATCCATCTCTACGTTACCATACACACATACAGCAGCCAGGCCTTGGACCATGTGTGGCTTCCTCCTCTGCTTGGTTCTCTGTGTCTCCAGCCTATGTGTTTCTAAAAGGGTGGGACCCAGCTCTTATCCCCTGTTGGAATCGAGCTGCCTAAAGCAAAGCAACAGAGCATGTCCCGAACAAACCACTCATGGTCACCAGCTCCCCATTCCTTCAAGACTGACACCCTGAGCCCACTGACTCTGGTTGCAAACCTTTCCACCCATCCGCCTCCACTAAAGCAAATTAAAGCTCCCATCCCACCCCTTTGAAAGTGAACAGGAAAAGAAACAGATCAAGATGTCCAAAGTATAATGGTTCTCTCTCGGGGCCGATCTCCAAAAGTGACCTCAGAGAGCCTCTATCAGAGATCGAGCTACCCAGAAGGACATCCCCGCGACACGCTCCCGCTGACGCCTGCATACGGACAATGACACGTCTTTCCACCCCCACACCGGACCCCACTCACGTTAATAGGATGCCTTGTGACAAACTGGGCTGGTCGCATGGGCTTCCTGCCACAAGAGACCCAGAGCTGAACCGAAGATGGATACAGACTGCCCCGGAGATGCTGCCAAGGAAAAGGAGGAAAAAGAAGTTAATGGCGCCACATTACAGCCACTCAAATAAGTGAAGAAGGAAAGAGTAGGGTCAGACCCCTCCAAGTCTACCAAAAACGGGGAGCACAGGGGTGACTGCAAATGCACACTTTGGCAACATCGCTGTTTGCTCTGCAGCTCGGGCTGCGCTCACCCGGTTCCGACTGCTGGTCTGTAGCAGGCACTAGACACCCGCCGACACCAGATGAGGACGAAGGGCAAAGGGTCCTGCGACTGAAGCTGAGTGTGGGAGGGGGGTGGAGGCTTAACCGGGCAGCCCTCAAGCCCACCCAGGGTGAGGTCAGCCACACACGGCGCACATAAAAACCTATTCCCTTGTTCTTTCCCTCCTATTTTCAGGTTAGAAGCATACTCGAATTCAAGGGCTTTAACTTGCACAAAGAGGTGAGGAAATTTTCACTGATTCTCTTTTGAAACCTTTTAATAACTTCTCCCTGATGAACGTTTTTGCTGGAATATGTTCTCTTTGGTAGGGCCCAGGGCATGCCCCATGAGGTCGGCCCTGTCACATTGTGTTTGAGAGATACTGGAGCACAGCTGGAATCTCGAAAATGTGTACAAAAGCACTAGATTAAGAGCTGGCTGTACCACCTCGAGAAGTCACTAAGCCTCTCTAGGTCTCATGCCTTCATCTATAAAGTTGAGAAGCTGATTAGGCACAGGATTCCTGTCGATGGGTTTCCAGGGTCCAGGCACCCTATAAACACACAGGCAAACAGTGTGATAGATGCACCCATTCACCCTGCCAGGGAGGGACACAATCTTTACTGGATCCTCAAAAGGGTCAATGATTCAGAAAAAGGTGAGAACCACCGTAAAGGCTTAATGTGGGTTTTTCCAGCTCTGAACGTATGGGACTGCGAACACAAGCCACACGGTGCACATCTATCCAGACAGAAAGGGACGCACACCGTCGTGTGGACAGAATCACACATGGGCCTATGAAGCTGATCAGAATATTGGGATCACCAGCCAGAAGGGGTTCACATTTGGCTTCATTTATCCTTGACCACGTTGCCACTGTTACCACAGATTTTAAATTCCTATAAAGTAAGAAACATACCAATTTCTCTTAACTGTAACTGAATTCCCGGCACTAATATATATCCAATAGGCGCTATGTAAAGAGCAAGCTGATGAACGTGAAGATACACGCACACACATATTCAAACAAATGCTTAAAAGTAGCTTATTTGAAAGAAGCCAGGTAGGGAAGTACAAAAGACTGCCTTTCTAAAATGCCACATGGAAAACCATGTTAATGGCTTGTACTCAATATGAGGCCACAGAAAACATGGATCTCTTAAGTTACTTAAAATTTAATTTTAAATTAAAAATGTAAAACATATTACCTGAGTGAGAAAGCAGTGCCCAGCAAAACTGTCAGCCATAGATCCCAAAAGCCCTCCTTAAGTCAATAAAATTTTAAAGCTATTCATAAAGGTCGGAGGATCCATGTTAAGTTACCCTATATAAATCCCTATAAACATATATGAATACACAGATGTCCGTGAAACACACACTTTGATGCCTTAAACTTGTTCACTACTTCCCACTGTGGTTGAACCTTAGAAAGGAGACACTTTTCTCAGTGACACCAGGGCCATGATTAGTTAAGCATTCTTTTTTTTTTTTTTTAAAGATTTTATTTATTTATTTGACAGAGATCACAAGTCAGGCAGAGAGAGAGAGGTGGAGGCAGGCTCCCTGCGGGGCAGAGAGCCCGATGCGGGGCTCGATCCCAGGACCCTGGGATCATGACCTGAGCTGATGGCAGAGGCTTAACCCACTGAGCCACCCAGGCGCCCCATAGTTAAGCATTCTTAATGCATGCTGTTGGTTGGCACAAGAATTGAGAATGCATACCAAGGTCAGTCTTCCTCCATAGATGCAAAAGTCAGAGTACAAAGGTAAGAAACCTCAAAACAAACCAAAAAACAAAAAAACAAAAAAAATAAAGATAGAAAGAAAGCTCAAAACACATGCATCCTACTTTCCTTTGGGACAATAGTTCCAAAGCCTGGACAATTCAGGCTCACCCCTAAGGAGCTACTGTAATACTTTCTTGCCACCAAGAAACACATTAACAATTACACCGTGGGACACTGTGGATTGTCAGATAGACGTATCATAAGCTCCTACTAACTTTCCTTAATAAGTCATGGGTTCTTGTGGTTGCTGAGTTTCTCTTTACCACGATTATAAAAGTAAAAGATGGGGTGCCTGGGTGGCTCAGTCGTTAAGCGTCTGCCTTTGGCTCAGGTCATGATCCCAGGGTTCTGGGATCGAGCCCCACATCGGGCTCCCCGCTCAATAGGAAGCCTGCTTCTCCCTCTCCCCCTCCCCCTGCCTGTGTTCCCTTTCTCACTGTGTCTCTGTCAATTAAATAAATAAAAATCGTAAAAAAAAAAAAAAAAGTAAAACCTGCTCATGAGAAAGAAACACCCAACAGTATGGACGGCTATAAGGTAAAATGCAGGCGCTCAGCTCTCTATCCTCCACTCGCTCCTCCTGACCTCCTCCCCAGGGAGTAACAGGGAACAGGCTCTCGTGGGGTCTTTTTTTTTTTTTTCTTTGTAATTTTATTTATTTATTTTGACAGAGAGAGATCACAAGTAGGCAGAGAAGTAGGCAGAAAGAGAAGGTGAAGCAGGCTCCCCGCTGAGCAGAGAGCCTGATGTGGGGCCCAATCCCAAGACCCTGAGACCATGACCTGAGCTGAAGGCAGAGGCTTTAACCCACTGAGCCACCTGGGCACCCCTCTTATGGGGTCTCTGAGAAGTGTTCTGTACCATCACCCCAGGCATATTTATATAGTGACAGACAATGCTACATGTACCCAACATCCATTATTCTTTCCTCCTTAGCAACAGGATATTGACTGCCACCCCAAATAAAGCACTGGGGTCCTCCGCCTTTTGCATAACTACATGTGGCCATGTGACTGAGAACTAATCCAGATCTGTAAGCCTAAATGGTGTGTTGGGTTTCTAGGAAGGCTGCTTAAAGGGAATTAATCATAAGGAAGGGGTCCTACTGTGGCCTATCTGTCCTTACTCTTTCTGACTCCCGTAAAGACCCAAAGGCTAGTACAGATGTCCTGGACCACGAGGGAACGGTGAGGATGGAAATTATTGTCAGGCTGGTGGAACAGAGAGAGGCCTGGGCCCCCAATGACACCAGGGTATCAACAAACCAGCCCTACATTGCCTGCCTCCAGGCAGCACTGAGGAGAGAAAAATAATTTTCTGTATTTATTAAGCCACTTTTCACTTCTACTCTGTTACTGGTAATTGAACACAATGTCAATGTGATATATGCAATTTTATTTTCCACACATGATGCAGATTGTGCGAGAAATATTCTTACGCAATTCAACCTTCTTCATTATCAGAGTTTCTTAGGCGTCTCTCATTTAACAGCTCATGGGCTCTGACATGATTTCCAGAAGCACTCTAGAGTGAATATACCTGGATATATTACCTTTGCCAGAACTACACAAGAGTGTCGATAGGATGCTGTTCTTAAAACCCCTACGTCAACATTTTCACTTTCAGCAGAAGAAAGAGCCTTCCTGAAAGGCTACCCCAGTTAATACACATAAATACTTCCAATGGCATCCAGGAGGTATTTCAATGCTTTGGGTTATGCCAGGATTCTAGGATCTGAAAATGTAGGATAAGATCTTTGTTTCATTTGGTGCTTTCATTCCGATAAGGAAAAATAAATTGATGTAAGTTTCTGAATAATGTGAATTTCAGAAAGTGCCCTTACATTTATGTTTGAGATTCTATCAGAGGAAATGAGAGGTCAAGGAGGGAAGAGCAGAGAGGAACTAAATAAACGACACGTTCTTGCCAGGTGAAGGCCACAGGATGTCAGAGTGAGCTCTTCAACCGAATGTTTTGTGGAGAACAGCTGTCAGAGAGGGAGGGACCCCAAGGCACGTGGCAGACAAGGACACAGTCCAGAAGGGGCTTGCGCATTCACCGCCACCTTCTCCTCTGAAACCGTGACAAGGGATCAGCAAGACATCATCGTCCACATTACTGTTGTTCATACTAAAATATTTATGGATAACATTTTATATATATTTTATATATACATATTTATGATTTGCTTTAAAAATATTCGAAAAAAGGGGCACCTGGATGGCTCAGTCGGTTAAGCATCTGACTCTTGATCTCAGTTCAGGTCTTGATCTCAGGGTCGTGAGATCAAGCCTCACGCTGAGGTCCATGCTGGGTGTGGAGGCTACTAAAAAAATAATAATAAAAAACAAAATAAAATATTCCAAGAAAAAAATAACTCATGGGTACACCGCCAAAAAGAGATTAGCAAATGTAAATAATATTGAGGCTGAATGAGGGCTAACTGTGGTGGTCCTATCAGTATAAACTGTACTTTTATACAGATTTGAAAACATGCATAATAGGGGTGCCTGGGTGGCTCAGTAGGTTGGACATCTGCCTTCAGCTCAGGTCGTGATCCCAGAGTCCTAGGATCAAGCCCCCTGTCAGGCTGCTCAGTGGGAAGTCTGCTTCTCCCTCTGCTTCTCCCCCTACTTGTTCCCTCTGTCCAATAAATACATAAATAAATAATCTTTAAGAGAAAGAAGAAAAGAAAACATCCATAATAAAGTTTCATAAAGTTAATATTCATTGGAAGCACGTTGAGAACAGCAGAGAAAGGAACTCTGAAAATCCACTCATCCGAAAAGCAACAGGACCACTGACAAAAATTCTCCAAGTCAACTTTTTCAGAATTCGAAAAATTAAACAAAGGCTTGCCAAAACCCAGAGAGCACTTAGTGGAGAACAGTGTCAAAGCTCAGCGGGAACAGGCGACTTCGTGGCCTCAGTCCCATCCCCTTCTCTCTGGCCCGGCGGTAGCCCTGGAAACCCACAGCCTCACAGCTATGGGAACTGTGAAAACCAGCAGCCGTGCAGCC